TATACAATTGTACTGGTCATTAACAGGACACAGATTACCTCGCACATCAACATCATAAACCAAACTGTCACACTTGCATTCCACAGCAACCAGTTTCTACACTAACTTGACTATCTTCCACACGCGTCATCATTCCATGCATTCGTTATATATCTCACACCAACATTCCTTCCCACCTACCGACTCTCACAAGCCCAACTAATAACACACACCCTCCATTTATATACCGATGACAAGAAACATAACAACTCTACTTCATCTGCCCTTCGGATCGCTAGGTCTAAAGAGGAATCTTTAGTTGTTTTTAATTACTTTTAATTTTCTTTCAGATAAACATTATAGAAACATTAAATAAAGCTTGCAAAATAAAAACAAACACCCACGTTATGTCAGTATTACAGGCAGAGGCGTAGCGACCCTTCCCGGCGCCCGGGGACATACTTTCAATTTGGCGCCCCCTTGGCGTCGAACTTTTCATTTGCACCCCCCCAACTCAAAATTTCGATTTGCACCCCCCTCGAACTTTTCATTGGCGCCCCCCCCCCCTAAGGTCGGCGCCCGGGGACATATGTCCCCCCGCCCACCCCCCTCGCTACGCTACTGATTACAGGCACAGTGATGTATCTTATCATTATAGGGCCAACGTAGCAATAACACTTGAGCGTGGCTACCAAAATAAAAATACTTTACAAAGGCACTTATCAAAATAGCATAGAATCGTTACACCTTTTCACCACTGGCGTAGCTAAACGGTGCGTAAGGAAGGTCAAGGTCGACTGGACTAAGAATACGGTGAATTGTCTTTTATAACAGGGACTCTCAACTTTATAATAAACACTTAAACATTTAGTATTACCTGCTTTTAAATTTAAACCAAAACATTATTTTTTTTTTAAAGTATTAAAATTAGAAAATCCACAAACATTTTTCTATACTACACTGGTATGAAAGTTTAAAAATAAGTTGTTTTTGGACTACTGAATAATAATAATTAAAATAATTATACATTAAAACTGCGCGTTTTCAAAAAAATAAATAAAACAATGGCAATATCTTCATACGGTAGAGGAATTCAAATGGTATTGAATCGGACAACACAAACCTCTCACATATGGTAACAGTCAACACATATTTAATTATTTTTATATGTTCTGTCTTATACTGTAGGTGACTGTTTCAACCATATTGTTATACCATGTTTACGGTCATTAAGTGAGCGTATTCAGTAAATGCGTCACATTTTTAGACACATCATATGCCGTAAAACGAAGACTGAGAATCACTGTTGTCGAATTCTCTGTTAGCTTGAAACGTATCCTGTTTTTGTACACCCCGCTATCCACTCTATTCATTAAGCGCGTAAGATCGAATGTGTTGCAGTAGTGCGTGTAGGCGTACATACCAACATAAATCACAACATAGAGTACGTCAGATCTCTGTTACAGATAACTCCTATCATGTTGCTTTATTTTGTATAATGTAAACATGTAAATTAAATAATAGAAAAGTGTAATAGTAAGTAAAGTTTCCTTTCGAACCTGACGGTTCATTAGTCAAGTGAAGTAGTGTTCACCTGTTTCTGTTACCTTGACATATGTAAGGAATGTGTGGTCAGCACGTTAATACCCCTAACGTGATTTAGCTACCCATTAGAGCTGGGTGGACTCAGGGACGAACTACGTAATTAAACCCAGATACGAACTCGAGACTTTCGGGTTAGCAGTTGTATTCTCTACCATTTGACTACTAACTTAGAAACGTGAATATTGTGAATATTACTCGTTTACAATATTAGAAATGTAGCAATAATTTGTGAGAATACTGTGCATGGATTGTCCTATTTTTATCGCAGGTGTAAGCGTAATCATACTTTGAAGTCAGTGAGAATAGCGAGTGGAAAAAATAACTTGTTTTAGGTTCGGACAACGATTATATATAATTTAAACCAAATAATCACTCATGTATATATTCAAACTGTTTAAAGAAAACTACACATACCGGTATTTGTTTTACAGATATGTGATAATTTCACTTTAACAGATAGTAAGTAAAAAAATAATAAAGTTCCCTTTTCAAACCGGACGGTCTATAGAGCAAGTGAAGTAGAGTTCACTTGTTTCTTTGACCTCGGCATATGAAGAGATCTAAGGGCTTAAGGGTTAGCTCTCTACCACTCTACCACTCAGTCCCCTTTTTCAACCAGCTCACCATCATTACATACATTATATTTGAATCTCCCTCACTCTTCCATTTGATAAGACTTTTTAAAACGATGTTCATATGTCCTTTGTAACTGAATAAAGGTTCAACAGCATTTTAAATACTAAAATTATATTTTAATACTTAGTCGAAGAATTGGTTATTTCCCTTGTAGTAGTCTTTTTATTACACAAGGGGAATCACCCGCCATTTCCTGGCTTTGTGTAGTCGAGCATGACCGCTCTGACAGGTAATAAAAAACTGCTTGTGGCTTGGAGGTGGGGGGGGGGTGGTCGGGAGGTGGGAATGTATAGCTACAGGCCTACTAAAGATGTCATTTAACTTTGTCATTACTATTAAGTATAGACCTTTTTTTTAAGTGCTGTAAAAGGTGTTCGTAAATGCTAGCATCAAATTTCAATAACAATAAATTTATATACGTTACATGTTTTCTGTAATGCGTGGGTGTTTTTACATTTATAGATGCTTTTAATCTAAGTAGGTATTTATTGCAAGAGTTGAACACCTATTATTTTAATTTTATGTCGAAAAATCTTCTATTTAACTGCTTTGGTCGGTAATAAAGTATTTTTGTATCCAATTCAACTGACATGATTGTAAAAATATATTGTAGAAGTCTTAACATCCTTTTTTAGCTGCCTTTGTCGATACAACTTATTTTCATACCCTGCTTAACTCCCCTGCTTATAAAAATAATATTCTAAAAGGTTTTACATAAACGATTTGGGTAAGTGTCCCCTTATGAATTATTGATATACAAAGTATTATATGGAAAATGTTTCCTCCGATCATTTGTTCTTACGAACCAACACTAAATTTTACCAGGGTTAGTTCGCTCGTACCGATGTGAATTTAAAAGAAAAAGACTTACAGTAACTAGTTTAACATGTTATAGGTTTCGCTTGTGTCCCTTGAATGACCCGCATTCGCAGCGATGACGCACATCTCCTTTGTATCTTGTAACTCCACTGATGCTCTAAACAAAGATAGACGTTACACGTTTTCTTTTAGCGTTACTTTGTTATTGATGTCAATATGCCACAGAGGCGTAGCGATGGGGGGGGTGGGGGGGGGGGGCAGGGGGGACATACGTCCCTGGGCGCCGACCTTAGAGGGCGCCAAAATGGGTTGTAAAAAGAAATTAAAATGTCAATTTTTGCAGTCTGAGGGGAGGGGGAGGATGCAAATCGAAACTTTGAGGGAGGGGGGGTGCAAATCGAAAAGTTACGGGGGGGGGGGGGGGCGCCAAATTGAAAGTTTGTCCCCGGGCGCCGGGAAGGGTCGCTACGCCTCTGATATACCATATGCCAACAGTGAAACCCGCAGCATTCAATGCAATTTTTAGTGGTAGAGCTATTACGCATTACTTTAGAATCGTTTTTGTGAGGTCAACATCAGAAGAATATTAATTATAACGTTGCTTTGAATAGTATCAATACCGTGATCGATGAACAGTTGTTAACATCAGCTATGCATTGTACAAGAATGTTTCTACTGTACAACTCCTCAACTGTTTACTTTAGAACAGAATTTCTTGTTTTGTGCTGCTTTATATTTCAGCTAAGTTCTTTAGCTACGTACTAAATACAGTGTTTTCAAAGTTTTTACTTACAAATGTTTTATTTGCTTAGTAAATAATATTAATAATAGTTTATTTTTTAAAATTTTAATAAATCTGCATACTTTTGTTACAAAAGAACATCAACTGGCGGTCAAAATACTTGTTAATATAACGGTACTTGATAATTTGCTAAATTTTAAGCCCGAAAGTCTCAAGTTCGAATCTGGGTTCAATTCAGTTGTACCTCCTTTAGACTTCTCATCTCTGATGGGCACCTAACTCAAATTAGGGAAAATAAAGGCGACTGGCTGTAGTTGCTAGCCACACTACCCCTTTATAAGTCGAGGTTACTCTACTTCACTTGCTCCATTGACCGCAATCTTCGAAAAGGGAACTTATCTTACTTACTAAATTCAAATCTACTTTCACATGGGACGGACTAGCAAATTGAAGCTCTCAATGCATCTTGTATTCCACGATCCCAAATGAACTTTCCTAGATAGCTAAATATGATGTGCTGCCAAGTTGCTTTTTAAGTGAGTCAATATTGTTAATAGTATGTATATCAATGATTACATGAAACAGCAATTCATTTTCATATAGAATATACAAAAATGTAGATTGACTAATACAAACATCAGTATCTGAGACAAAGATGATTTATTTACTTCAAATCAATATACTTCGCATATAATAATGTACACAATTAAAAATAAAATATCATGTATCAAAAATTATAAACATTAATTTTTATCAGTAATTTTTAAAAAATGCATCAATTTGTAATTAAAACTATATTTGTGATTGTGACTTCATAATTCACAAAAAAATTTAAACACATGATGTCATCTACAACACAGCGAGTGGTACTCTATATAAAATGTGTTGATTAGAGTAATGTTTCAAATGTACAATTTAAGTGTAATGTATATCTAAATCGATACTCACACAGACACAAAGCACAACTTTCATTACACAAATTCAACAACGTTCACATGTGCAATACTTCGCTATAATTCCAATACTGATACAACATTTGTTTAGGACAGTGGTCGGCACTCTGCGCCTCGCAAGCCGCATGCGGCTCTTTTGATGTCTAGATGCAGCTCTCCAGTTCCATGATAATTATTTAATTTACTGAACTCAAAACATATGATACTGTAAAAATAAAAACAACTTAAAAGAAAATAAAAAACAATGAGAAAAGGTGGAGTAGAGTGCATGTGGATAGCTGACAGCTGATCGGCTATCCCATTAGGCCCAGCCCCACAACTGTGCTGTGGGCAGACCTGTGGCAATGGTTCCATGCTTTCCACTACCGAAGTGCACATTACAATGTTGGTGGCTCTTTAAAAAAAATGGGAAATTTTGTAGATTGTAACGTTTGGCTCTTCTGTCTCGAAAGGTTGCCGATACCTGGTTTAGGAAACAAATTCGACCCGTTTCACTTTTTTCTTCTCCTCCCCAAAGTTCTTGTAAATCACAATTCGCCAGCATATACTCGCCCCTACAATAACAAACGCAAGAACGATAACTCCCGCAACTATAAACCCAATCGCCAGGTCCGACAACCCAGGGGCATCCTTGTCCCCATAGTTACCGCCGATTCTGTCAGCGTTTTGACAAACAGCAAAACACCTGGTGACAACAATCCGTTCACCAACTTCTTGTATAGTAATATCCATAGCTTGGGTCATCTCCCAGCTAGAATGTTCCTCCGTTTCCGGGCAGACATTCAACAGAGCGGCCGTGCAGTTATTTTTCTCTGTGCAGAATTTGGCGAACTTGCACGTGACGGTGTTGTTGGTGAGAGTGGTCGGGTAGAGGCAGGAGAGGGCGCCTTTGGTGTCTGACGTCATGGATTCCGTGTCGTCCATGAGGTCAGTGCCGCCGTTCCCCGGGCTTATCCTGTAGGTGAAGACGTTGCCTGGAGATTTGCAGATTTCACGCGATTGGCTGAAATAGAAACATATAATTACATAGAGTATTGATAAACTCTAATGTACTCGATTTAATTTAGCACACGCCGTTATAAATGTATAGGCTACAGGTATATCAATACAATATCCTTTTGAATGATTATACATAGATGAATATTGTAAACTTTAAAACTTCAAATACATTTCTTCTTCTTCTTCGTTCTTTTTAAAATGGAACAAAAACAGGACATTTATTGCAACAGAATAACATTCTCGACAACCGGTATAGACGCTTAATAATTATCTTACAAACCCCATCATTAATACTAACGTAATAAAATAGACCATACTTTGCAGTCTTAAACAACCCTTCACCCCCCCCCCCCCCATTCTTTCAATCCTACAAAAGCATGTACGGCGTACTTTGCAATCTCCACCAAACTTGTACTAAAAAAAAACATAATACAATCTAGATGCGATACATGTCTATGTATTGCCATATAAAAGACTTAATTATGAGAGGAGCATTTCCTGATATATGTATTATTCATACACCGTTATGTGTAGTATGCTATTTCCTCGTCCGGGGATCTCCTCTTTTGTAGCCTGGCACAGCTTAGTGAAATCAAACACACAAGTCTAATTCAAGATACACTTCAGTTCTTTATTTACACATCCATCCCCGACTCCTACTATAACTACTTCCTAACACATGATTGTCTACTGACACCATCTATTACGGGCCAGTTGTAGGTTAGATAGAAATTAGTTAGAATAATCTAGAATTAGGGGAGAGTGCGTTACCTGGACGTAACACCATCTAACTGCAACTTTCCGACATACTCCACTGGTCAGCTGCGACTCACCTAATACGTCCAACCGCTATACGGTGTATCTCCACCAGCTAACTAAACACGTCTACTGACCAACTCTACTCTAGTGCTACATAGTTGCCCACACGTCAATGGTCAGCTGTCCGTCGCAAGTGACCAGTCGTCTCCAGCTACAATTCTATTGGTTCTCCTTGCCTGACCAATGTCTAGCTGACCTACCTATTCTAGCTTTGCTTGACCTCTGACCTATTTATAACTAGCGTCGTCACAGTAATGCACACGTAAATTTACTTTCCCTAAGAGTTATGTAATTCGTAGCAGATGATGTTTTTTGCTGTATATTTTTTTTTACATATGTTATGACCTGAAATACCCTATGCGATAAAATGTTTCCGATATAAGTCTTGTTTGACAAAATGTAACTTTATAAGGCTGATTTTGAAAATGCCGGAACAGAGGCGTAGCGACCTTTCCCAGCGCCCGGGGACAAACTTTCAATTTGGCGCCCCCACCCCGTAATTTTTTTTTATATATTTATAATGCAAAACTGCAGCTAAAATTAGCTTTTATTTTTTTCCCAACCCATTTTGGCGCACCCTAGGGTCCGGCGCCCGGGGACATATGTACCCCCCTGTGCCGGAATACACAAAAGAAATTATAAAACTTACGTGTACTCCATGTTTGATTCTAAAGACACGTCTTCTGATTGGACGACACTCCCTTGGTCTAGGGTCACAAGGTGAAAGGTCAGATGTGACCTAATCTGTGACTCGACAAGGGACAGGTGGACAGCGAGAAGTAGAGCCACGCCTATCTTCATGTCTAACACCACGAGGTTTCAATCTAAATTTAGAAATTTAAATTATTTGACGCCAAACATAAGACACTAAAAATGTTTTTTTTTTTTTTTTTTATGTAAGCGAAATCTGTGAACCTTTTGATAAATAAAACGGCAAAATTACATTAATATTTTTGTCATAGGCATATATACTTTTATACTTATTATTTAAATATATTTAATACTTTTGCTTATGGGATTTATAAAAAGAATATAACTTTTACCATTTTATTTATTTATTACAATTTGTACTAAAACGTATGTCATACTTATATTAAGGGATTTATTTAATGAAAAAATAGGCTAAGGGGGGGGGGGGGGGGGCTATACAGCCGGTGAGTGGCGATTTATTTCATTTAGTAATACAAATACTAAACATCATACTACGATTGCATTAAACTAAACTAGATCATAAAATATATTAATACGAAAATAGAAAAATAAATAATATAAGGGATTTTTTAAATGCTCCAACAATAATACATTTGGTCTTAAATGGGGCTAGTAATCTATCTGGTTGTGAATTAGATGTCTTAAATTAGTCTGGTAATTACTTGTAATATTTTCGCTAAAGGATGTACAAATTAAAGAAATAACAAGTTCTGGCAAGATGTAAAAAATGAAAATAAGCCACAACACGTAACCGCTCATGGCCACGTTGGCTTAGTTTGTATTTAAATTTTAATCTACATAATTAACGCAAATTTTTAAAAGCCAAAATGTATAGGCCTACCTTTTTCAATTAAAAATATATATTCCGTGAGTCACTTTCTGCAGTCAACAGTCAGGAATATATTTCAAAAGCATTACAGATTTTGAAAAGTTGCTTTTAATAAACGACTTACTTGTAGAGTAACCGAATTTATTCGCACACCCCGTGTTTAAGTATGCGTATGATTTGACATATCGCGCATGCGCTGTCAATAAAAATATTATGTTGACAAGTTCCAACCCCCACACCTAAAGCCCCCCCCCCCCTTCCACGAACATGCACTTTGGTGCTGTTTTTTTCAGTTGAACTAGATCGTGTCAGCGTCGTTTTTTTAGTGCTACCCAGGGTCAGTCATGCGGAACAAATAGCCAAATTGTGCGTGTTGGAGTAGGTGAAGTGTGGAGATGTAGAGGTGTAGAGAGGAGGTAGGTGAAACTAAGTGCAAGTAACACTTCCTTCGTGTAGATAGGTGGGGATTAGCAATCCTCTGTGTATGTAGGTGGGGCTTAGCTACATTATCCAGTTTTTCGCTTAGGTAGGTGGGGCTTAGTAACATTATGTAGTCCTTTGAGTAAGTAGGTGGGGTAAGTCAAATAATCCAGACCTGACGGAGTTGTCGGGAAGTTGCACGCATGACTGTTAGCCCAAAAGTCTCAAGTTCGGATCTCACATTGATGTAGGTCGTCACAGAGCGAACCTAGCTCTGGTTGTTTGTGAATTACGAAAGAGAAAATAAATAGGTCGTGAGGTATTTTCTTCACTTTTCAAAAATAGACCTAGGTCCTAGAGGATATTGTAAATCCATTTGTTATTTATTTATTTTTTTCGTTAAATTGTATTTGGCTGGGTAGTGCAAATTTTGCCCATTATTTTAGGCGGAGCCCAGTGTGTTAGAGTTACATATAACAGAAGATCGTCTAAAATAATGTAGCGTAATTATTTGGCGAATCCTTCGAGGGTGTAAATCTAAAGTGACGCCCTAAGTAGGGGTAGCTCTAGACGACGCCCCAGTAGGGTGTGATTCCCCCCCCCCCTTTAGAAAGGTGTGTAGACGCCACTACACAGTACCACTAGTTCAATGCAGGAGGTCAACGTTCTACCCAGAGCCGAGTCGGCTCATTCAATAAATAAATGCGGCTCATTCTGTATAACATAAGAGTGTATAAAGATAAAACTTCAACTTTTTTAGTGGTTTTACAGCGATAAAACAGTATACTTAAGAGTTGAGGTGTAAATATTTTATTCCCCACTAAATTTGAAGACCATATGATTACAGCGACATAAAGAAGATGTGTATTTTATTTCCAGGATTATGGTTGCTAAATTGTATTTTTATGAATACACAAGGCCAGTAACCGCTCGGCTACTCAACTAATGATACACGTTGTATTTTACTTTTGTATTATATTGAGGCAAATAATAATCTATTTTTTTTAAATTAGTGGGTAGTTAATTAAATTATATTTGTTGTCATGCAACCGCTTTATTTAGTTTTCATATATTCACAATTAATTAAGTGAATAAGAAGATATACGAAAAACAAGGAACATAATTACATTTAATTTTATTATAAAACATATTACTTATCCTTATAAATAATATTGAACGATTAAAAACTTGTTCTAGTGTTTCTCTCAAAAATGTATTGACTTCAGCTGACGTTTAAATAATTTATTTTATTAAAAATCAGACAGGATACCAATGAATCAAAAAGATGTTTATTTTATTCTTGTTTTATTGATAAATATGCTAAGATCAATTCCAGGTTAATAGATAAGGTCAGAAATAATGTTATTGTAAAAGCTATGGGATAGTAATAGAGTAAAGGCAATAACAATAATTGTGATAAATATAACTAGAATAGAAACATGCAGTTTCTTCCAGGCATCTCTTCGGGGGGGGGGGGGGGGGGGGGGGGGGGGGGGGGGGGGTAAGCCCCCCGAAAAAATTATACCGCCCCCCCCCCCCCCGAACGAAATGAAATTTATATAGAAAATATATACTTTTAACAGTGTCCACCCCCCCCCCCCCCGAAGAAAGTCTACCGCCCCCCCCCCCCCCCGAAAATTTCAAGTGCCCCCCGGAGAAAAATGTCTGAAAGGAACACTGTAAACATGTTCGTTTTGTGTTTTTTTTCATTAATGTGTTTTAATTACGCTATTTAAGACACTCAAGAACCTATTTAGCATTCTCAACGTCGGTTGTCTTTTTGTTTTTCTCCGTCGGGGTTCTGTTTTGTCTTACTTTGCAGAAAATGATAGCACCAATGACCAGGGCTGCTGCTAAAATGGAACCCGCAACTATTAAACCAATGCCAAGATCAGATAACCCTGTCGATGTTTCGACTTGTTCAAGAGATGGAACACAGGACAGGATACAGCCGGATATAGCTATCTTTCCGTCGCTCCCATCCACCGTGACGTCAACTGTCTCTGACGTCATCCAGCTGGACGTGGATGCTGTCGCCGGACACACGGCCGCGATGGTGAGGTTGCAGTTGTTGCCGAGGGCGCAGTACTCGTCTGCCCTGCAGGAGATGCGGTCCGAGGGTCCGGTGTACATGCAGGGATGGGCGCCCTCTGTAGTGATGGTCAGGGCGTCGCTCGCGTCAATCGTCTGCAGGGCGCCGTCTGCCGGGGTGAACCTGAGGGTGAACCTGTTCCCTCGGCCGTAGCAAGTCTCGCGAGTCATTCTAGGGTGAAAGGTCAAGGTTAGAGTGAAAGGTCAAGGTTAGAGCGAAAGGTCAAGGTTAGGATGAAAGAGCAAGGTTATAATGAAAGGTCAAGGTTATTGTGAAAGGTCAAGATTCGGGTGAAAGGTCAAGGTTAAAGGTAAGCGTTAAACAATCGATATAGAAATTTAAATTTTAACTCACGGCAAGTCTCACTGTTAGAGTTAGATGTAAAACAGGCAAAATATAATTTAATGATTTAACATATGATTGTCTTAGGTTCGATTTTGGAGTGATACGTGCAAGTTAGCGTTAAATGTACAACAAGAAACAAACAAGAAAATAGCTTTTAACAAATGGCTAATCTCAGGGTCGATTCTTCAATGAAAGGTCAAGGTTAGAGGTAAACGTAAACAATAATATTCAAATTTAAACTAGCACCATTTGGGGGTCGTTGAAGATTCTGGAGAGGAAGGCCAAGGTTAGAGTTGACGTTAACAATAATATAACAAAAATGAATTGTAACATGCAGGCGATTTTGCAAAGGTCCAGGTTAGTTTTCAACGTAATACACACACTTTTTAAATTAAAATCTTAAGCATAATTAATAGGTATATATACAATGATGATGTTCTTGGAAACATGCTGCATGTAAACAGAGTAGGATAGTTTAATTTTTGTAATAAAAAAAAAACCTAACTCTGAATGGTACTTTGGTTGCAGAAACACTGAAATTATAATTCAAGCTTGTTACTTGATATGCATAATAAAAATGGAGTCAACCGTTTATTGTTATTTATTGTTAACATTTATATCTTTAAATCTGAGATTACGAAATAGTACGATGTGCATTCCCAATAATGAATATATATTATATCACAACAGCGACACATTGCACATACTATACAAACAGCACATTTGGAACATAACCTTTATAATACCTATACCAGACATGTAAAGCAAACTGTCTTTATAAGTGGTACACAACGCCAATATTGAACAAAGACATGGACATGTAGACTATGTTTGCTGTGTATTAGTAAAGTTCTTCTTTCAAACCTGACGGTCTATGGGGCAAGTGCAGTAGAGTTCACCTGTTTCTGTGGCCTCGGCAGATGAATATATAATGTGGTCAGCACTACGCCCACTCGCCTTTATTTCCCCTTAAGTGAGTTAGGTACCCATTAGAGCTTGGTGAACTCAGAGACGATCTGATGGATTGAACTCTGATTCGAACTCGAGACCAACGGGTTAGCAGTCTAGCTCTCTACCGTCTCACTTTGCTATGTATTACTATTAGTCACCTGATACAATTATTGTTTTTGTTTGTACATAAGAAGTGTACGATTTTACATCACAGGTAATGTAACTAAATTATAAAGTCTTCTTATAATCTAACATTCCATAAAGATCATTATCGTCACACTACAATACAGTTTTTCTAGATTATTATAAATTATTATTTCGCACGGGTTATGTACTTTATAGAACATATTGGAATTAGTAATTGTAATTGCTAGTGTTATGTTATATTTACATGTGTTGAAGTTTATCAGTCACTGGTATGATATCCGCGTCGCTTTGACCTTCAGCCAGCATAAGCAAGGGTCACGTGGGGTTGAGGGTTGCTTGATATGAGAACCGCTTGAATGACAACCAAAATTAGCTCATACGCCGCCATCTTTTTTTCTGTTCTATTGGACCTGGATAAATCAGACTGTTTTGTAATAGCCTTTTTTTTTAAAATTACTTTACATTTTAGTACATGAATTATAAGTCGCTGATAAAAAAGTGGCATTAGTGTGGATTGGTTATTATAAAACATAGTTTATTATAGGCACCTCGATTGGAACCAGAGGCGTAGCAACCCTTCTCGGCGCCCGGGGACACACTTTTGATTTGCACCCCCTCCCCTCAAACGTTTAATTTGTTTTCCCAACCCATTTTGGCGCCGCCCCCCCCCTCTCGCTACGCCTCTGTTTGGGGACTTAATGCCTCACCCTCCCCCCCTTCCACCCCGGAAATTCTGCTCCCTCCTATTTCCTTGAAGTTTTAAATCCCCTACCTCGGTATAATAATGTCTAATAGAACGTCTGCATGTATTATCCTTTAAATCTCAAACACTAGTCTATTCAGCTAATTAAACTATATGAGATTAAATCGTCTTATTTAGTTAATAAGATAACGATAGTCAATTTAAATAGTGAGAAGCACAATATCAGAGAAAAAAAGTCGAGCTACTTCACGAAATCCTCGCTAGACATTTCTTGCTTCGGGTACAGGTCATTGACCCCGGTTGGTATTCACGTATAAGGAAAAAAAACCTCCTTCACACTTTAGTACTGTAGTTATGGAACTACAGTAGCAAAGTCATAGGGCGTGTTAAAGAAGTAGGTCAATCGTTCAGTTAGCGTTGGAGGGACTATTGCAAAGAATAATTTACAACCGCCTTAAATAGG